CGTGGTCCCACTAGCGAAGGGGATAGGATAGAAATCCTGAATCTGGCTATGTTTTATGCAGAGATACCGAAAAGCAGTTCTATCTCGATTTCCTGTTTCTGTCCTCAAACACTTCCAGATGCAGGCATTCGATCCGATCCTCTTTGCTAGTGGGACCACGCCCCAGGCCCTCGCAAGTGGCATTTAGGAGGACGTCGTGGGTTCCATCCCCGCTGCCGCCTGCGGCACTCTTGGTGCCAACCAACTGAGATAGTTGGATTGACCCCGCTTGGCTCGGTATTAGTAGGGTCTTTGGCCATCACCGGTGTGCGTGTGCGGCGGGGGTTTGTTGTGTGTGGTGGGTGGGAGAGTGCTGGGGCAAGGTCCCACTTGCGCAAATTAGGAGATTTGGGCCGTTGATCTTTGCTATCTACGGTCACTATCTCTCAATTCGTGCAAGTGGGACCTAGCCCCTGGGCAGAGCCACTTCTGTTACTCCTGGGGCCCAGGGGAAGTAGATGGGAGGGGCAGCTATTTCAGAATTGCTCAACCCCACAGTTCTAGTTTACGATCCTACACTAAGGTGCCTCTCACCGGTTTGTTGGCCCCGCTACTCGCCTACCACCACCGATTAGGGCAGCAGGCAACATGCATATGCTTGCAGGGGTCCCCAGTATAGCCTTAGGAGTAGTGATAGGTATGGGTAGTGAAAGGTCAAAATGAGAGAAGAATATAGCTTAGGTTTGGAAAAAAAAAAAAGGGAAAAAAAAGGAATACAGATAATCAACTCGGGCCCAAAGGGGAATAGGATGTAAGATGATAATAATAATAATAATAATAATAATAATAATAATAATAATAATAATAATAATAAATAAATAAATAAACGAAATCCACTCCGAGCAGCTCTCAACACAAGGCATCAAAAGTGGCCAGTTTTGAGCTAGTACGCAAATTCCCCCAAGCAAATGGAACGAACGGTCCTAATACAGGAACTTCATGTCCAGATACGATGATAAAATTACTGTGCTTTGTATTCAAGTGAAACCAGTGAGCCGTGTCGAAGTAGCGAGCAACCTTACAAGGGTATTTGCCTTGTTTTTGCAGGTCGCAAGTTCGCGACACTATATAGAACAGTGTGGTGCCGCTTTGCGCTCCACGTGCCTAAACCACTGTGGTCAGAGTGGTGAGGATGAGTGGAACTAGGATTGGAAAGGGAAGGGGGGGGGCGTGCATTACTGTGACGTGTGGTAGGTCACCAGATTGTCGTCTACCATATGAATCGGCAGGGCAACTGACGGTCTTCGCACGGGTAAAGGATGGTTAGAATTGTCGCGCTCATGGCGCGTATGTGCGTAGTTGTGCATGCCAACCATTGCCATTATAATTACCGCGGTGGATGGTTTAACTAAGCCTTGGTCATCAAGCCAAAGGCATCTCCAGTGCCGCACATAGCCAGTGGGCTATGGAACCTGACTGTTATAAGGCAACCCGACTAACGGCTTTTCGTTAAACGACGTCAAAAAATCCTTGCTCGACTGACATGTGATGAATGTCGCGGCGCGAAGTTACCATGCCCAACAAAAATTTTCCTTCTATTTTATGTCTTTTTCCGTTTATGTTTTTTTTTTTTTTTTTTTTCCGTTACTTTATGTTTTGTTAAAAGGCGTCGGGCAGACCTCCAACTGATACGGGCCCAATCACTGAGGTTTGTCGTGGATGGCTGACGCTTTTCATTTTCCATCCAGTAAAAGTTCAAACTTGGCCGTGCATTTGAAACGCAACCTTTCAAAACTTTATTAGCATTAAACAGGAGGGCAATGAGTCGTTTGTAGTTGACGGTGCGTCTCGCAGCCAAGGTGCGGCCTTGGCGTGGGCATGGTGAGATAAGATCGGATAAGACCCAATATGTGAGAAGGGGTCACATCGGGGCTTGTCGAGTGGGACCTCAATGCAGGAAGCGAGCGCATACTCGTACCGGACTTTGGGTTCAATGAGTGGAGTGTTCAGCGACTAGGGTGCAGCCTCTCAAATCCTTGCGTGCGATCTTGAGGGCCTCCAGGCTTAGTTTTAGTCAATAGGACACGAAAAACAGCCAAGGTACAGCCTTAGGCCGGGTTGGTAGACACGGGCCCGAGTATATATTGTTATGTGTCAGCCTACCTTGAGGCTTGAATATGAACCTATTTGTGTAACAGTTGTCCTATTTTGTCTTTTTTGCCTGTATTGTTTTTTGTTAACGGTTGTTGTGTGTCAAATTTTGTATCATTTGAGGCATTGGAATTTCCTCTGTTGAAATTTCGGAGTTAACAAGGACTCCCACTTTCAACTCTTGACTAACCGGTTTGGGGGTCCAATTTCCTTTGCTGAGATTTTTCAAACTTCTCAAGATTTCTCAAAGTGCATTTTTGCCTTGCTGTTTTATAGTTTTTTTTTGACTTTTTTTTAAATTTAATTAGTTAGTATGGTCTTCACTCTATGCTTTTGTTTTGGTTTAAGGTTGTTGTGTACCAAAATTGGTATCATTTGCAACATTCGAATTACCTCTGCTGAGATTTTTGAAATTTCTCAAGATTTTTGAATTTGGAATGCTGGCAAAATTTCATGAAGTGCACTTTTGCCTTGCCGTTTTATAGTGTTTTTTTTTTTTTTTTTTGCAATTAGTTAGAATTGTCTCCACCCTATGAATTGGTGGCAAGTTTGGTTAAAATAATCCTTGGGTTTTTTTATAAATGGCATGGCAAGTTGTCTACAATTTTGGGCCTCCGTTAACCTCGTCTCCGCGCGCCGAAGCGATAAAGGTATAAAACACCTTTAAAGGAACCGAGGGGTTGAGCGTTCCGTGAAACTATCCCCTTTGGCGTTATTGCTGACTGCAGGTTAGGCCAACCAGTACCGCTCCCGTGAGTTTGGTGGGACATGAAGAGTGTTATTTCATTTTTTCCTTTCTTTTTTAGTTTGAAGAGGTATCTGTTTCTCAACTATTGATTGGGTCGGTGGGCCTCGCCAGAAGGCTGTAAAAGCTGGTCTGGCTTAGCAACCCCGATTTTTCGTCAATTTTATTTTTGGGAGACCATTGTCAAGGTCCGACAATAGGACAGAGTGCGACAATACGAGAGTAAGACGAGCGGGAAACAATGTGTGTAATTGGACAACCCCAATTGGTACAGTGGTGTACCTTCCCATATTTTAGCGAAAGATACATATCATTTTCATTTTGCACATTTGGTGGGTAGTGGAACGGGGCTTGTTCGAGCATGGTCACGCGCGTTGCTTACCATGTGCCACTCGTGAATATGTCGTTGGTTCATCATGATCGCAGTTTTTTACATCGAGTTTGTGATTTCATGCCCCCCCCCCTGCGTCACGTCGTTTGCTCTCTCTCTCTCTCTCTCTCTCTCTCTCTCTCTCTCTCTCTCTCTCTCTCTCTCCCCCCCTTGTTTTTGAAGCCTCGCGTTAGCCTATGTGTTAGCAAATACCCTTATGAGGGGTTTTACTCTCGTTTTTTCTGCTCACATAGGATGCGGCTGAGACGAAGTGAAAGGCATTGGCATGTGAGCTCTCTTTAGGACAAGCTCCTCGGTGACCTTGGCCGTTATGATTTCGGCCAGTTAGGCTTGTCGTGCATATGAAGCCCTCATGCGTTAGTGTTCGGCTTGACATAGTTATTGAGGTGCATGATCACGAAGATGCTGGACATTGGGTCAAGTCGTCTATGACGCCTCGTGTAGATTATGAATCATGTGAACAACCATTATTTTACGACTTGGTTCACTTGACATCGGTAAAGCCTGCCAAACAAGGCGCAACTCGTATGCGTCTCGTTCAAACGGAACGTGGTGAGCGCTTGGGTTCACAAAGCTGCAATACAACAATTTTGTTTGTTTATTTTACTTTGTCTTTTGGTTTGCGTTCTTTTTAGTAAGTGACGTGATTGGACCCGACTTGAGGGATCCGACAAAAGCAAGAGGCAGACCCTTTGCCCATTTCATAATTGGAAGGTAAGACCTTGGCTATGAGCCATATTCCCAACGTAGAGCCAACCACCCGTAGGTTGTGGATCCACCGATATGCCTTGGGAAGCCAAGTAGTAACCTTGGTTAGGGCCCAACAGGGAAAAATCCGATATAAAACCTCTTTATATTATTTTTTACGCTTGGTCCTTGCAACGAAGCGCTTACCCTAGTATGTACGATACACAATTATTCACGAGTGACAAATACGGGTTTGATACCAATAGGTTGTATTGAGAGTGAAGGAGTCAAGGTTAAAGGAATCAGGCGACCGAATGACTTTCCTAGTTTTCATTCTCGCCCCTGGGGAGTGTTTGTTAGGACCAGCAACAGGCGACTTAGTTGGCACACCCTTCAACATACGAAATTACGGATCCAAGTTTGAAACCGTACAATGAGATGATGAGAATAAGTGTAACTCGAATTATCTATGGTCCCATCCGGGTGAACTACCTTGGCCACAACTTTCTTAACTGGTTTGTTAACCCCATTGCCTTCGAAGAGTCTGCATCTAACAACATTTATGATAAGGTGTGTGCAAGAGAGCGCCAATATGAATGTGTTTGGGTGTGACCCTAGTATGTCGACTTGTCCACTGAAATCCGCCCCGTGGTTGTAGGGGCCTCGTTACTTAAATTTTTTTTTTTTTTTTTTTAATTATTTTCCCCTTTGGTAGCGTCTGCCTGTATAGCATCGTGTTGGGGACCGAACACGAACGAGCGTCGAAACTATCCGAACGAGAACATTAAAAAAAAAAAAAAAAAAAAATCCAAAAAATCTGAAAAAAAAAAAGGAAATGAAAAAAAAAAAAAAAAGGAAAAACCTTCCAAAAAAACGGTCACCCATTTTTTCGGGGGCCTGCTCCATTTGGGGGGACCCCAAGGCCCCTTTACTCCCTGGGGGGCCCACTTGGGCTTTTGTTTTTTTTTTTTTTTTTTTTTTTTTTTTGAATCGTTATTTCCCTTTTCTTTTTATAACAGGTAATAAATTTTTTATTTATTTATTTTTTTTGGGGGGGGCCCGGGGGGAGGAAAGAGACGTTATTAATAAGGGCCCAGTGCCCAAGGCATAGTACATGAATAGGCAGGGGAGGGGGAGAGGGAGGAGGGGGGGGAAGAGGGGGGGGCTTGTTGGCCTCCGCCGCACCCGTCTGCTAGAGCCGCTCTCCCGCATTCAACCGAGCAAGGGCCTCCGTTCTGAATGCATCGGGACAGACTCGTCGTCAGATTCATTCATTCGCAATTTGCGCCGATGGCGAGTGGTGCAACTAGGGGCTATAAGAGGCCCTCGTGCGGACCTTATTCAAATTTTCAGAAAAAATAAAAATAAAATAAAAAACAGGTAATAAATCGGGCGGCCGGCGGGAGATCACAAACAGTAACGAAAATATAATTAAAAAAGCTAATAATTATATTATATTAATATTAATAATAATCAAATAATAATCATAATAATATAATAATAATAATAATAATAATAATAATCATAATAATAAAAACCCAGCCGTCGTAAGATAGGGGGGTCAAGTCCCACTTACCCGAAATCTCAATTTCTGACCGTAGATGACGAAGATCAACGGCCAGAAATGAAGAATCAGCTTAAATGCGATCGAATTTTCCAAAAAAAACAAAACAAAAGCGATCGAATTTTATTTTATTTTTTCCCTTCCGTCTGGAGAGATCGCAGCAATCAGAGCAATCAGCCAAGGAGGGCATTCAGAAAGTCGAAATATTCCAATCCGCAACTTTTGTAGAATGTATATGGACGTAACTACGGTCGAATTCATTTCAGAAAGTCTCTGTCGACCTACGAGATCCTCACATGTATATGTCCGTCTGCACGGTCAGGTACATCTCCAAGGCTCACTTCCGAATATCCGCCCTCAATTATTGCCCAGGCAGACCTGAGTCCCCGTGGCTCACTCGCGTCGGGCTGCCTGACTCAAGTGCATGTGGCTCCGTCTCCGGTCATGTACATGATTGCAACCCCCCCTTACCATCCGTCGAGGTCCCGCTCCGAAGAGTTCTCCACTTCTGACCGCTGATCGTCGTCATCCACGGCCTAAATAGACGGAGTGAAAAGAGGGGAAAAAAGGGAAAAAAAGGGAGAAAAACGGAAAAAAAAACGAACAAAAAAAAAGGAGCGAAGCAAATCCGAGACCCAGAAAAAGAAAAGAAAAAAAAAATCCAAGACCATCAGCCAGCTTAGGGCCGGAAATAGTGGGGCCAATACCCAGTTTAGGGCCAATGCTTGAAGGAGTGTGATTCTGAGGTCTTTCTTTTTTTTCTTTTTTCTTTTTGTCCTAGGGGTGAAGGAGTGTGATTCTACCGTCTTCAAACCGAACACGACGCACCTTGATAATGAATGTATACAAGCTATATCTCCGGTCAGTCACAGCCAAAATGAGGGTGTGTTGTGCTCGGGGAAACAGGGTATTGTGCGTGTGTGTGGGTATGGG